TTTAGAAAAGAAATTGGCTAATTGAATTTTATTAAGACATCTTTGTTAGACAATTTATAACCATCTTTTATGGTTTTTTGGTTTAAAGCTCTATAACCTATTACCATACGAGCTTTTCCTCTTAATTTTTCTGCAAGATTCATTACCATAATGTAGGATTAGAATAAGGACTTCTACTTAGTCGTATTAACCCTTGTTTTAAGAAGTCAAGAATTTGTTTTTTGAATTCCTTAATTATTTCAAGACTATGTCTAATGGGTTTTACATTGACTACATAATTTAGATCCTCAAGCACTATTTTTGCCCAAGGCTTGTCTTTTTTCCATAATTTTAGTAGGTTGTCACTAAAATTATTTTCTAGCATTTTCTTAATATTATCTAAACTCGAAATATATTTTCCTTGTTTTCCTTGTTTGCCTTGATAGTGATTTGAGATATCAATGATCCATTGTTCATCTTCTTCTTTTTCACTATCACTTTCATAGTCATTATCAGTTATAGTGTTATTTTCATTGCTAATTTCATCTTCAAATAGTTGTTGCCAAGTTTTTTCTTGATTATCGTCAATTATTTTAAGCTCACCGCGTTGGGTTGTGTAGAGAGGTTCAATTTTTATTAATAAATTTGGTTATGTAATTTTAACAGGGTTAAAACCAAATCTACATTTTTTAGATGCATATTTTAGCAATGGAATTTCATGCATTTTAAGAGCAATATATGATTCATCTTGAAGAAAAGGTCTATTTTCTTCTTGTTTTAAAATTGCATTGCCACCTAAAAAATCTCCATCTAAAAATTGAAATCGGATTATTCAGTCAATTATAAATTATTTTTGATTAAAAATACTAGGAACATGGTAACTTTCATATTCCATAGTTACCGATTGACTGTTTGCCAATTTTAATACAATTGGATTTTTAGCTAAAACCCATTTGTCTGGAGGTAATACTCAAAGTTTTGCCAAACTATATGAAGCACCAGTGTCAACTAATGCATCAATAGTGTAAGAATGATACCTCATAAAATTATACAATAATTCAACAAATGAATTTTTTGGCTAACTTCAACAGTTTTTCTAAAAATTTCATGAGATTATTTACTTATATCTTCATTTATTTTTTGGATTTCTTCTACTCCTTTTTGGAGTTCCTTTCCGAATAATCCTCGTTTAATTTCGCATCTTAAGTGATAGAGAGATTATCGAGAGAAACCATTTTTAGGTTTTAGTGTTCTTCTATTTATATCTTTGATGAAGATTTATTGGTAATAGGGATACTTATTATTTTGTATCCTATTATTTTATCTGACTTCTCTTGTACACAAGATTCTTGTCCACTAGATTCTTCAATTATAGCCTTATCTAACTTTCTTGTACACAAGATTCTTGTACACTACATTATTCAATGATAGCCTTATCTTTGTTTTTTGTTCTTTCTAGGCTATTTGTAGAATTGGATCTAGTAAAAACGAATTGATTTTCATCTAGGTTCATCTAGATAAACAACACCTTTATTTTCTCGAATTGTTAAATTTTCAAGATTTTTTTTATCTAGAATTTCTCCAGCTCAGTGGTTAGCTTTAACTACTGTTGAAGAGAATATCATGTTTATGGTAGATAACCTTAAACAAGAATTTTGTGGAATAGCCCTTAGCCAATTGGGAATTCAAGAAAATATAGTATTTGCAAATCTAACTAAGATATGAATATGTGATATGTGCTATTTTGAAAATTATGCTTGTGAAAACAAAAAAAAATGGTTCCATAAGCTAGACCTAAAAGATACTATTCATTGGCAAAAACAATTTATGTCTTCAACAGTAGTTAAAGCTAACAACTGAGCTCTGACGTTATCATTATCTAATAGAGTATCCCAAAATTTTGTAGCTTGACCTCTTAGAGTAGCTTTTACAAAAGCATTTAGACCTCCGACATTTATAGCTTGTCCAACTACTACAATTCTTACTACTTAAGCCCAATCATTTATAACATCTTCTATGTTTGTTACAAAGACGAGATCAAAATATATTCCATATTTAGTAACAGGCTCATTTTTTTACAGCTTTAGGAACAAAGTTATATTTTATATGAGTTTTTAATGGTTAGCCTGTAATTAATAGAAATATTTTTGCTTCTTGCATCAAGGTCTTGAAAACCTTGAGTTTTTATTTTAATCCTAATGCTCAATTAAGATTAGAATCTTCCAATGCCACGAAATAATTTGGTTTGATAGTGAACCAAGTTGGTCCATTATACAAATTACTTTGAATTCCTCTAATTAAGGAATTTTCAAAACTATGTCATCTATTATCCATTACACATGTTAACATAGAATTTTTTTCCCGCCTAAAAATAAAAGACTTATACAACATATACTAACTTGTATAAGTCCAAAATGAATGCAATTATATTTTTGATTACGATAATGTTTGATTTTATTCATATCAAACAATGGTATATGTACACATGTTTATTCTGTATTACCAACTAAAGTTCTTCCTTCAAAGATTTTTAGATTCAGTTTACTTCAAGGTTTGAAGATTGAGTTTATATAAATTTCCTTAATTGGAATTTTTGGCATTTTCCAATCATTTACAGAAAATTCTGGTTCTTCAATTTCAAATGATTCACTTTCTCCTTTCTTAGGAAGGATCATTTTATTCTTATCATCTGAATCTATTTTCATTATGAAACTAGTTCCAATTAAAGTTTCCTCTAAGCTTTGTTCATCATTTTCATTAGAAACATATTCAGATTCTATTTCATATCCCCATACTGGTTCATATTTTTCTTCAGAAAAGAATACTTGTTTAACATGTTGTTTTCTTTATTTGTTAGGACATTTGTTTGCAAAATGTCATTTTTCTCCATAAAGCCAACATTTGCATTCTTCAAAAGATTTTTCTTTTGGACATGGAGGTTTTTTGTCTTTTGTGAATTTGTTAGATATTTTTCTAATATATCTAGCCCAAGGTTTTGGTTTTTCTTTATAAGGAATAAAATTTTCTTTTATGATATTTTTATTTTTGATTTTGTTTTTTTTTTTTTTTTTTTTTTGTTTTTTTTTCCAAATTTTTTTTTTTTTTTTTTTTTTTTTTTTTTTTTGTTTTGTTTTTTTTTTTTTTTTTTTTTTTTGGACTTGGCCAAATACATTGTTCAATAGAACCACTTATTTGTTTTTAAGCAATTTTTCTCTTTCATAATTATCCATATATAGATTTAAATATTTTTAAAGATCTTCTGAAGATATTCCTGTAAGCATGTCTCCATAAAGTGCTCCACATGCCACATTAGTTTGTTATTTTATTATTATTACTATTACATATTTAATTAGTAATATTTATTTGGGTAACTAACGTGTATGATACCCACTACTCTATAATGTGTTTTCATGGGAAGTTACAACTTCTCTGATTGTGGGAAGTTATGAGGAGTTACACTTGGATCATGGGTCCAAGCCTATCTATATATATGCTTGTGATAGCCATCAAAACATAGACGTTGTTTTGTGAATAGAATAGACTTGAAACTCTGTTCCTTCCACTTTTCCATATGGTTATGTGAAAGTGTTTTGTAAGTGGTTTTGTTTATGCGTTCAAAACTTGATCAATCAAGAACAAGATTCAAAGACTTGAACATCATGGCAGGAGGTATTCTTCTTTTATTAAATTATTTTAGTTCCCACAATTGATATTAGAGCAATCCTTCTGTTCTATTGTTTAGCATGAGATTTATCTACACAAAATCGAACTTCAGTTTATGCATTATTGTGTAGATTTAGATTTGTTGAATTTTGTTCAACGTATTTACTGATTATTTTGACTCAATATATGAGCTCCATAACTACTCCCATATATAAGCTGTTTTTCTTTGACTAATATCAATAAATCAATTAAAAGTTGTGGTCCATATTTGACATCAATTTAGCATTTCTCCATACTTATGTGGGTTTGTACTTTATACCTGGGATATATTTGTCTACTAATTCACACCATAAAGGTTAACAAACCAGTGTCTTCGATGAATCAGAATTGATTATTTAATTGCAAAACTTCTGATTCAATGTTTATCACTATTAAAGAAAAATATGAACTGTTGCATGATGTATATTAATTAGAGGCAATAGTACCTTCTAAACATACTTTGTTTTAGAAAATTATTGTATGTCATTAAGTATGAACTCTTATTAATTGACAACCATTACAAACCAAAGTGTTTAATCTGATTTAGTATAAAATTTGTAAATTCTTCTATTTTTATTTGGGTTTATTTGGTTTAATAAAAAAAAACATTATTGGACTGTTTCCCTAATTCGGCGAATACATTGCTGGAAATCAGGGTTTTTTAAAAAATGCCGCTATAGGTCCTAAAAACGCCGTCAAATCTTTTTGTGACGTTTAGCACCAAACGCCGAAGATGCGGCCATCGCTATAACTCTATGGCCCTTTAGAAGCGTCGCTATATTACTATAGGCGGCGTTTTCTAAAAATGCCGCTAAAAGTTCTACTAACGGTAAAATGACGTCATGCTATTTAGCGACGTTTTTAAAACACCGTCATATCTCTTTTTCCCATACAAAAATCCAACCGTTATGCTATTTAGCGACGTTTACAGAAACGCCGTCATAGCCTTTTTTTATAAAAAAAATTGTGCTAATTTTTTGTTATTGCACTAAGAAAATACCTATAATAAAACTGAAAAAATAGCACTAATATAAAATAATAACTCCCATTCATATAGTAAAATCTTATCAAATGATAGTCCACAACCATTGTGCAAAAAAAAACATTCACACACAAATCAAACGGTGTATGTTACACAATTTAAAGAGATTAATAACTCCAAAATTAATAGCTGTAAAATGTTAATCTTGTCTAATTTAATTTACTCAGTCAAACAAACATATTCTAAGGTTCTTAACGTTCAGTTTATTCAGAATGAATTGTCATCCACATATATATATATATGAGTAAAAAAGTTCACCAGCTAAACTCAGCTCAACTTAATAAATTTGTTCTAATTACTTGATTTTCTTTTTTAAGAAAGGGAAAACTTTAGTGCACAAGGGTCAGATTTATAGTTAGCATCTTGATGGCCCTTTACTTACATGCTCTTCAAATTGTTTCATATTTCTCACACCCTAGAAATCTTCATATGGTCGTTGGAGAGTTAAGAATAAGTCATCAATGCAAATAAACTCACTATTTCAAATACAACAACCATCAAAAAAAATTAAAAAATTAAAAAAAAAGTCATAACAACTGATAGTAATATTAGTCCTCGGACTACCAGGTCACCAGCTAAAGTTGCAAACACCAGACTTTCTTGTTCATCAGCATTCTTCTTTAGATCTGCCAATTTGACGACACTAACAAAAGCAATCTTGCATACCGCCACACTCATTCTGGATTAGGAGAACCACCAGGGACAAGCTGCATTATGCACAAAATGTTAGAATTGTAGAATACAAAATCAATAGGACTCAACTTCTCAAACAAATTGTCCAAGTCTAGCAAGGCAGTAACAAAAGTGTTGCAATGTCCAAGTCTAATGATTTTTTAAATTGAGAGACAAATTTAAGCAATATTCAATGATAGCCGAAGAGATATCCATGAAATTAACCCAAAATATTATGTTCTAATACAATGATTTGATGATAGAGACTGAGAGTAAGGTGCATTTCCAAACAGGCTGTTTATAAATGAAAGTATTCATTTTCTTGCTAACAATAGATAACTAAAATGATTTGGCACAACTCAAAGTTACTTATTTGATATCATTTTCTTGTTAACAATCAATAACTGAAATGATTTGGGACCACTCAAAGTTACCTATTTGATACCACAGTGAGAGGACCACAATTGAACAACACAAGAAAAGGAAATCCAAGGTAAACAAAGGCAATGACTATTTTCCACAAGTAATTATTGTAAAATTATAACTTTGAAAGGAAAACTATGAAAAGAACCTATGAATTATAAGTTCTGTCAGGCATAACATGAGGTAATGACTAAAATCCATGTTTTATGCCAACAACCTATGAAAAGAAACATGTAACATTTCAATAATAATGAAGAAACTACAAAAACTAAAGATAACGTCTAGATAACAAAATTTTGGGAAGTGACTATTATAACATGCAAAATATACATTCATAGTACATAGAAAATTGATTGAAATATGGAAAACACAGACACCATGCAAAAGAAATTTAGGGATTCAAACGGCTATTTTGGCAAAAAATCATCACAAGATCTTGAACTTCCATCACAACATAAAAGCAGAACCATAGTACCTTTGAAGCTTGCTGAAATAAAAAGCTGGTTTGCTCTATCCCACTAATCTAGAGAAACGCAAGGAAATCAATATTCCAGCATGTATAGAAAACCGTCAACAGTAATAAAACATATCGTACTAAATAATCCAACGCAACAGATAACAATAAAAGCAATGCTAAAGACTACCCTAAAACTAACATAAGAATGTTAACACCTCATTCTCAGCAAAAATAAATGTATATTCTATATACGAAAAATGTGCATACAGAATGATGTGGTGATATGACATTTTAAAAATTAAGAGTCAACTAAATGATTGTTTTATTTTGAAATGAGCACAATCTCGATTCAACTACATCAATCATTTTGTATAAATAAAAATACTGTATAATTTTTATATTTGTATAGCATTACTCCAAAAATAAAGAAGACAAAGATAGTTTCAATGCAATTCTATAAAATAAAGATCTGAGTTGTTGCTAAAAAATGGAATATCAAGAGAATAGCTTTCCTTAAAAAGGGATATGATGTGATGATCGTTTATTTTAAAAAAACTTAGAACTCTCACCTAAAATCGTCCGAACAGCTTCTAGGTAGGAGGGATTTCTCTTGGGCCCTGGATCGGGTGATTTGTAATAGTGGCAGAGAGAGAAGGCAGAAACAAAGGTTACTGATTGAAAGAACAGCATAGTCAATGGGCCTGCAATCCACCCCAACTGAGACATGCTCCATGCTAGCGATAGTTAGTACCCCTGATCCTATACAAGTTAACAGACACAGTCAGATAGTTAAAATTGATAATTGATAACATTTTAAATGTCTAAAGTTCAAATTGAAAAAAAATAAAAATACTAGTTTAATTTGTTACAATGTTAAATTTTGAGATTTTTTTTTTTTAAAGTTCCCAATTATTTTATTCCAATGCATTTCAAGTCACAGGATCACCAAAATAATAGAAAAATAGAAATCTAACAGAGAACAAGAAAGAGAAAACTTCAACTTGAGCTTGGCATATAAACAAACATGTAATATACACAAATAAATCCAAATATACATACACACAAGATTTGAAGGTAGAGAAAGTGAAGAGATTGGAGATCTGTACCTCAAGCTAAAGAGAATCCGGAAAAAGGAAAGTAACTGTATATATGGGATTGTAAATGGGTAAGTGTATATTCAGATATCTTTCAACTTTCTCGACATAATAGATCAAAAAAGGATGCGTTCAGACACAAATCAACTCCTCATCCTCCTCCTCCTCCTCCTCCTCCTCCTCCTCATCCTCTCTCTCTCTCTCTCTCTCTCTCTCTCTCTCTCTCACACACACACACACACACATACAGACTTGAAGTAAAGACTTAAATCTAGTTCAACGAAGCAGAGAGTGAAGAAAAGAAGAAAATGATGTGTTTAGCCACAAATCAACTTGTAGTTTCTTGCTTACAATTTCAATTTCAATAACCAAATCGAGAGAGATGGGAAGGAAGAGCTTGAGAGAGACAAAGAAATCGATACCTTGCTGGTGCAGGTGGTGGCGGTGGCGATGCAGATGGTGGTGGCGATGGAGCTTCGAAATCGAAATCAGAGATTCAGATGAAATCGAAATCAGAGAAATCAAGCCGGTGTAGACGGTGGTGGCGGTGGAGCTTCAAAATCGAAATCGAAATCACTTTGAATCTCAAAGATGAATCTGTGAGAATGATAACAGTTTAGAGAGGGTTGAAAGAGACAAGATTTGAAGGCATGAGGATTCCAAATAAGGGTTTACAAAGGGCTTTAACAATTATTCTCATATTCAAAATAGACTTTGAAATTGAGAGAGAGAATCACCGAAACATTAAATTTCGAAATTGAAATCGAGAGAGAACTTCAAAATCAAAATCAAAATCGAAATCACCAAGATGAATCACCGAGATTGTATCATTCTGAGATGAATCAGCGAGAGATGAATCGATCCATTGAGAGGGTTTAGAGAAAGAGAGAGAGCGAACGAGAGACTGAAAGAGATTAGGGCTTCAGAGAGTTGCCCATTTAAGGGAGAGAGAGGGGACATTCGAAGGCGCTTTTAAACGCTTGAAACGGTGTCGTTTTGATTTTTTAAAACAGCGACGTTTAAGAAACGTCGTTAAATATTATAAAATGTGACGTTTAATAAAACGCCGTTAAATTAACGTCGCCAAAACTCATTTTTCATGTAGTGATATATATAGACTGCATGTGAAACTAGCAATAAACGCATGTTTGGACTTTATGTGACTATGGTTTTCTACTATAAAACAAATACAAAGGAAATATAAGTCATGTATGTGTGGTTTTTGAGCAAAACAACATCTAGTCTTGACCAATAGAACCTACACTGATTTAAATTTAATCTTCAATTTTATAGTGGAACTAACATGCTATTTAGATTATTCTATTGTAGTTGCATGCACAGGTAGTGAGTGAATTCTTTGAATTTCATACAGTAAATTATTTTAAATAATGTTCCTTCAAGCCTTATAAATTTTAAAGTTCATTGGCATGCTATCTAGAATAATGTAATATTATATTACATGCATTAAAGTAATAATTTATGCCATGAAAATTTATGTGAACATATGGATTTGTTTCATGTTCTATGCCATATTTTAAAAAAATTATTTTTGTTTTAAGAGTAGCCACAGCATCTTAAGACATAAAGATATAGTGATCCTCAGTATTTTGATCACATAAAGTTAAAATCAATTTGGCATTTTCATTTTGCAATTATATTTTATGAATAATTTCTTGGTCCCACAGGAAAGTAGTTATATATAAAATTTAATTGGAATAAGATAATGGGTTGGGTATTAAAGGGATTGGACACTCTAAACCCACAGGAATGAGTTTTCTTTTCCTTGAATATTTCAGAATCTATTAGTCTTATTGTAAAGTAATAGCAAATTTAATACAATTTAGTAACCTCTACCCACATGAAGGTTTAGATTTGTTATTGAATTTGACATTGGCTGATTCAGACTATAGTTATTGTTTCAAAGCATTAATGATATTCTTGGTAATTGCAATGATTTCTACCTTTATACTGTCTAATGAGTCTTCTCGTATTCTATTCTTGAACGGTGATAATTTTTCAGACTGGAAGGACAAAATCCTTCTGACATTAGGGTGCATGGACCTCAGTATAGCACTCTATGTGAATGAACCTCCTGAACCCACAGGCGAGAGTTCCGCTGTTGAAAGGAATGCTTATGACAAATGGAAGCAATCTAATCGCTTAAGCCTAATGCTCATAAAGTCACAAATCAGCCAGAGCATTAGGGGTTCAATCTCATCATCTGATAAGGTCAATAACTACATGAGAGCTATTAAAGAGCAATTTGTTAGTTCTGACAAGGCTTTGGCAAGCACCCTAATGAACAAACTATCAAGCATGAAGCATAGCAATTCTAGGAGTGTGCGTGACCACATTATGGAAATGAGGGACATTGTAGCTCGTCTTAAGTCCTTAGAGATTGAGATTTCTTAGTCATTCCTTGTCAATTTCATACTCAATTCTCTTCCTATGGAATATGAAGCATTCCAAATTTCTTACAACACACAAAAGGGAAAATGGTCTATCAATGAACTTTTGACCATGTGTGTTCAAGATGAGGAGAGATTGAAGCATGAAAATGTGGAAAGTGGTCATCTAGCAACACGTAAATGAGGGCAATGGAAAAAGGGCAAAAGTGATCACAAATGGAAGAAGCCTGGTAAAGTGCCATTCAAAAATCATGGCAATAAGGATGCATGTTTCTTCTGCAAGAAAAAAGGTCACTTGAAGAAAGACTGCCCCAAGTATAAGAAATGTCTTGAGAAGAAAGGTAATCTCATATCTCCTATGTGTTATGAATCTAATTTTGTTAATACTCATTAACATGATTGGTGGATTGATTCAGGTTCTACAATTCACATTGTTAATACCATGTAGGGCTTCCTCAGCCTAAGGAAACCGATGAAAAGTGAACACGACATCTATTCAGGCAATGGGATGTGTTCACATGTTGAAGCTATAGGAACGTTCCGACTTGTTTTAAAGAATGGTTTTGTTCTGGATCTTGAAAACACTTTTTAGATTCCATCGTTTTCTGAAAAATTTAATTTCTATTTCTAGACTAGTACCGTTTGGATTTGAATTTCAATTTGTTGGTTCAAATTTTAGTTTGTTTAAAGACTTTGTTTCTATAGCATTTGGTACTTTAATGGTTTTTACAAATTAAATTTGGATCCTATTTTTGAACAAAGTCTTTTAACCTTGCATTTGGCATTAAGCGTAATATTGTTGATAAGTCCTTCTCTATACTTTGGCATAGGAGATTGGAACATATCTCTATTGAGAGAATAAAGAGGTTGGTTAATGATGAAGTCCTTTCAACTCTTGATTACCAACTTTGGTATTTGTGGGGACTGCATAAAAGGAAAGCAGACCAACAAGACCAGTATAGGTGACAAAAAGAGTGAGAAAATTCTCGGAATCATACACACTAATATTTGTGGACCATTTACTCCAGCTTGTCTGAATGGTCAAAGATATTTGATCTCAGTTATTGATGACTATATATGATACATGTATCTCTACCTCTTGTTTGATAAGGCCGAGGCACTTGATGCCTTTAAAGTTTCTAAAGAAAAGGTAGAGAAACAAACAGAAAAAAATAAATAAATAATAAAATTGAGAGGTCAGACATGGGTGGAGAATATTATGGGAGGTACACAGAATTGGGACAATTACCAAGTCCATTTGCTAAGTTCCTTAAGGAAAAAGGCATTATTGCACAATATTTAATGCATGGCACGCCACAACAAAATGGTGTTACTGAAAGAAGGAACCGAACACTTACGGACATGGTAAGGAGCATGCTTAATTATTCCAATGTGCCTATAAATTTGTGGAGTGAAGCTTTAAAAACTGTTGTTCATATCTTAGATAGGGTTCCATCCAAGGTTGTTCCCAAAACACCATTTGAGTTATGGAAATGATGGAAGCCACGTTTAAGAAACTTACATGTTTGGGGTTGTCCAATTGAAGTAAGGGTGTATAACCCACATTTAAAGAAATTAGACCTCAAAACAGTTAGTGATTTTTTTCCTAGGCTATGCGGAAAACTCCAAGGGCTATAGATTTTATTTTCTTTCAAATTCAGTTAGAATTGTTGAAGCCATGAATGCTAAGTCTACTGAGGAAGTTGACCCTAGTGGGAGTTACCCTCAAAAGATAGAGCAGAAGGAATCATGGGATTTAGATGCAACACTTGTGAATATAGGTGATTTGGTTGTCTTTCGAGATAATCAACTCAATATCCTTGAAGATCAATCAATTCAAGAACTTCCACCACAGGAGGAACAAGTTAACATAGAGCATGTAGCTTAAGTCCAACTGAGACTACAGAATTAAGGAGATTCTCATGAACTAGAAAATCAGCAATTTCTAGTGATTATTTTAAATATTTAAAAGAGTCTAATTTTGATATCAAACCTAAAGATGATCCTATTTCATTTTTCAATGCCATGAATAGAGATGATTCTCAATTTTGGTATGATGCCGTGAAGAAAAATTTGGAATCTATGACATAAAGTAATGGTGTTTTCAAAACACGTAGAGGGCATGGGACTGATTAGTTAGCTCAATAATTTTTCTAGTTGTTGTTTTGTTTTATTTTGTTTTGTCATGACATTTTGATTATTATTAATGAAAAGCATCATTTTGTGCACCTAAAGTATTCGTGATGTTATGTAGTCC